TGTGGTTCCAGGCAGAAAATTCTGTGAGATACCAACTCAATGTAAGACACGTAGTGTGCTGACATGCATCTGTCATCCCAAGCTCTGACAAGAAACACAAAAACAGGAGAATCATGAGCGAGGAATGCACCAGAGCAAAAAGCAAGTGCCTATCTCAAAGGAAACCAGTGCAAGAAAGGTCTGGAAAGTATGGCTCTGTGGAAGAGCACTTGCCTATCAAACAAGACACATTGAGCTCCTAAGAGTAGTAACACCAAAAGAAAGAAAGAAAGATACAATGAAAGAGAAAGAATACTTGACCCTTTAAAGCAAAACCATAGCATTGACTTTTGGAATTTAAATAGATAAATTTAATAAATACAAAAACTACCCTATTATATAGTACACAAAGCTATATAGTAGTATTTGCAACAGGATATCAGATCATTAACGTATTCACAGAATATATTTAATTTTTTAAAATTGTTCAAACATACATTAATTTAAATACAAAATATTTCAACCATCTCACTTCTATGCGTTTACTCAGGCACATGGAAGTTTATGTGCATACAAAGTCTAATATATGAATGTTGACAGAAGCTCTAATTTGTAACGGCATTTTCTTCCTAACAATCACAAATTAATTAACATCCATGCACATCAATTTATGAATGAATAAATAAATTAAAATTTATCCACCTAATGGAATGCTGAAGCAAGAGGCCTTGCTCTTTGTTGCAAGCAATCGAACTGAGATGTCAGTTTGAACTCTCATAGGGATTCAACTGATTCTACAGCTTTGCTACATTTGGATCTTTATCAAAACCTATTTCCCTCACTCATCATGAGAGATCACTTCCTCACTGAGTCATTTGGACATTAATACCTTCATGTTCTCCTTCAGAAATGCATAGTAAAATAAGGATACTGGAGCTAAGTAACTCTATCATGGCATCTTAATAGAAGTTAATAGAAGATGTGGACTTTCTAAAAACTCTAGAAGTGATAGAGGCCATTATTTGGATTTCAAATATGATGGGCTGGGAAGGTGGCTCAGTGGTAGAGCACTTGCCTTGCATGCCTGAGGCCCTGGGTTCGATTCCTCAGCACCACATAAGCAAAAAGAAAAAAGCTGGAAGTGGTGCTGTGGCTCAAGTGGTAGAGTGCTAGCCTTGAGCTGAAGAGCTGAGGGACAGCACCCAGGCCCAGAGTTCAGGCCCCACGACTGGAACCCCCCCAAAAAATCAAATATGTATGAGTTGTTGAACTTCAGGAATGTCATGCTTTCCCTAGGTTATTGGGATCCTGATGGTCCCTGATTGGTCCCCTGGGTGGTTGGTTTTACCTATGTTATAACATAGTTTGCTCTGCTTACGTATGACACATTTGTTAAGGCTTCATCTCCACCCCAAGCATGTGGTTTTTGTGTTTAAATGGTATGTGCTAGCTCTGTTTTGGGCAGGTGGTCTTTGAGATAGGAGTCAATCATGCAGTCACGAGCCTTGTAATAAAGATTCCCCATTCAACCTCTCAAAATGTGGCTACTCTGTTTACCTAAAACAGTATAAATTTGCTTTAAAAAGTAGTTCTAAAATTGAAAATATGGCTGGGTATGTGGTTTATTTTTTATTTTTTTTATTATTATTTTTGTCAGTCATGGGGCTTGAACTCTGGGCCTGGGCGCTGTCCCTCAGCTCTTCAGCTCAAGGCTAGTGCTCTACCAGTTGAGCTACAGCGCCACTTCCTGGGTATGTGGTTTAGTGGTAGAGTGCTTGCCTAGATGCATGAAGCCCTAGGTTCAATTCCTCAGTACCACACATACAGAAAAAGCTAGAGGTGAAGCTGTGGTGCAAGTGGTAGAGTGCTAGCCTTGAGCAAAAAGAAGCTCAGGGACAGTGCCCAGGCCCTGAGTTCAATCCTCAGGCCTGGCAAAAAAATGGAAATATGGAGTTTGGTCATTCACAATTCTCAGAAAATTACTGATACTAGGTTGAATATTTAAGTTACTCACCTGTGCTGAAGTGAAACATGTTCTTTGTGATGGGAAATATATTGCTTGACATAGTACCTGTGAAATGAAGAGAAAAGGGACATATGAAAATCATTAGGATTGGGTCACCACTGGTGAGAGGAATTGATGATTTATAAGAAAAAATAACAGGTTCGGGGGGCTGGGAAGGTGGCTCAGTGGTAGAGTTCTTGCCTTACATGCATGAGGCCCTGGGTTCGATTCTTCAGCACTACCTAAACAAAAAATGTCGCAAGTGGGCACTGTGGCTCAAGTGGTAAAGTGCTAACCTTGAGCTGAAGAGCTGAGGGACAGCGCCCAGGCTCAGAGTTCAGGCCCCATGACCAAAAAAAAAAAACCAAAAACAGGTTCAGGTCAATTAATCACCAACTTATAGAAAATACAATTTAAAATAAATTTTTAACAATAGAATCTATTTAAAGACTCTCATCTCTGGTTGCCATATGTTTGACCAATCAGTACCATGACCTAATATAGAGAATTGCAGAAAAAAGTTGAACATTTATCTGTGGTAAATGTTCTGTATCAAACACAGTAACCTAATAAGGAAAGAATTGATTCTGAAATATGGCATTGTGATATCTGGGTAAACACACTTGGAAACATTAAAGCACTATACTTTTATAAATCCACTCAATCTATTTAAGAATCCCACCACTACTTGAAAGAAAAATCTCTCAATCAGCCTTTAAAAAATATGATGTAGAAGACTATGGTACTGCATGCCCTCTTCATATGTTTCCCTATCAAACCAAAAAATATGATCAAATAAATTTGCATAACGAGGGCACAGAATATAGTGTCCAAATTAAGGGACAGTGCAATGACTATACATTGCCAGTGTACAGTTGCAAGATGGAAATTTACAAATATCATTTGTATTAACTCTGAAACATAAGAAAAACTGAGGTATTTATCAGAAAAAAATGTGTGCTAAAAACTGAAAAATTATTGATGGGTGATGAAAAGAGGGAAGGGATGGTAGGGGAAAAACAAAGGAGGAGGCAACAATGCTTGATAAGAAATGTACTCATTACCTTGCTTATGTAACTGTAACCCCTCTGTACAGCATGTTTATAATTTTAAAAAGTACCAAAAAAAAGAAACATGAGCCAGATGCTGATGACTCACTCCTGTAATCCTAGCTATTCAGGAGACTGAGATCTGGGGATTACTGTTCAAAGCCAGCCCAGGCAAGAAAGTCTGTGAGACTCTAATCTCCAACTAACCACTAAAAACCCAGAAGTGGTCGGTGGCTCAAGTGGTAGGGTGCTAGCCCTCAGCTAAAATGCTCTGAATTCAAGCTTCATGACAGGCACCAAAAAAGAAGAAAGTAAAAGAAACCTGAAGAATAATGACTTAGCACTTTCATGGGGTTGGATGACTCAAAATAATAAACATGCTCTCTGCCCTCAAATGGATGTAATTCTAAATAGGAATTGCATTGATGTAGAGCTATTGATTCTCAAATTTATATGAAAAGGTAAAGTGAACACGAGTAACTAAAACAATTTTGAATATATTAAAAGTAAATTTGGAGCTGGACGTTTCAGGGAAGACCTGTGGCCTTAGGTACTCAGGAGGTAAAGGCAAGATGACGTTTTGAGGACCAGCCTGGGAGAAACCCTATCTCAAGAATAAAAATTGAATATGAATGCTAGGGTATACTTTAAGTGATATAGTGCAAGTATGAAGCTCTGAGGTAAACCTTCAGTTCTATAAAACAAAAATTATAGTTCAGGTGGAACAATCACAGACTAGACCCAAGGAATGAAAATATGTTTAAAAGTATTTCCTTGCACTGGGTGCTGGTGAAATGGTTGTAATCCTAAGTACTCAGGAGGCTGAGATCTGAGGATTGGAGTTCAATGCCAGCTTGGGCATAAATGTCCATGAGACTCTCATCTCTGATAAATCACCAGAAATAGTTCTGGGGCTCAAATGGTAGAGCACTTGCCTTGATCTGAAGAGCTGAAAGACAGTGTCCAGGCCCAGAATTCAAGCCCCACAACTGACAAAAACATATTTCTTGTTTTCCCACATTAACAAATTAGAGAAGAAAAGTTTAAGTTTTTCCTATTATCTGTTTTTTTTACTATTGTCATAGAGGTTCAAATCTTGGGGTTTGCACACACAATAGCAATAGTTAAATCAGGAATACTCAATTGACTTCTACTTATAAAGATTACTTACTGAACAAATTGCCAGCCCATCACAATAATCATTTCAATATGAACAGGCTAAAACATAATAACAAGCATCAGAGCAAACCATACATAGTAACATAGTAAGGGTAGGTATTTGTGTGTGTGTGTGTGTGTGTGTGTGTGTGTGTGTGTGTGTGTGTGTGTGTATGCATGCATGGGTGAAACTAAATGTTCATAGAGATGTAAAATATATTTTGTAGTTCCAATAATGGTTATGAAAAGTGGAAACACTATAATGTCTGAAACCTGAAAAAACAAGACCTTCCCAATTCATTCAGCTTAGCCACTTCTATGAAGAAAATAAATCCTTTATAACAGCACATTTCTAATATCTAAGTCTGGCTGGAGAAGAATCCCCATGGGCTTCTGATTTCTCTGATTTTGTACCCATGTCTCTCCCATTTAGCCTGTGGCCATCTAACCTGTGACCTTTTCTCAGCAAGCCAGGAACCAAGATGAGCACAGAGAGAGCCAACTACCTGAGAATAGTGTAGAACCCAAAGAACCCTCACTTCAGTTGTAATATTAGCCCTAAGAAACTTCTGGTAGGAATATCAAGATAAACAACACCTCCCACGCAAACACACACATTTCCAATTTGGGCAATTCAAGATGGTGAGACGCTAGTTAAAAGGAAGTGAACTCAGGTCTGTAGTGTGAAGGCTGAGAAAGTTCCAGGAGCCAATGTGAGGTCTTCAAGGGAAGCTGAATTGACTTACTACAATAGAAAAAAAGAAGAGGTTTAGCTCAATTTTGAACCTGTTGTTTTGTTTGACTTTTAGTCCTCGAGGACATTTGGAAACAGACGTCAGATGTGATACTTCTTCAGTATGATTTCTGGAATGTGAAAGAGGTAAGGGTTCATTCCAAATGAGCACACTCAATAGGGCAGGGATTCTACCTCTTTTTGATAGTGAAGGTGAGGATCCTGAGGAAATCCCTAACCTTATGTTGCAGAGAAACTTTCCCATGTAACTGCTTCTCTATTTGTCTTGAGAAGCTGCAGCCATAGCCAACAGTGGTTTCTTTTCACGTACCTGTTGGGTGACAGGTGTCTAAATGGGACGTTAGCTTTACCTTGCAAGATACATCTTCAGAAGAAAGGTCAGGAGGAATTGTGATTACATTAAGGAAGAATGAGGATTTAGCCTCCTTCATGTCCGAACGTGATAGAATCCTACCAAAGGGTAGTTCTATAATGTTAAAGGTCTATCATTTCTGGATTGGTGATCTGAGAAAAGTGAGAATTTTTCTCTGAAGGGACTAGCTTCAGGTTAACAGAAAGAATATGAAGCCCTGTCAGCCATTACTTTGAGGAATCTGGAAAAGGACTGTACTAGGCTCCCAAGGGACATAGTGAGGTGTTTACACTGTCTGGTCCCTGAAGTTCCCCCTATGAAACCCCAGGCAGGTTCCCTGGGTATAATTTATCTGACATCTTCACTTCAGTGTTTGAAGGAAGTCATCTTCCTCGGAGGAGTGTTGAATCAGATCATCAAAAGAAAGAACCCCAGCATCTACTAAACTTCCAGGTTAAAACCCTAAGGTAACCAAAGAACATTTTCTGTGCAAACAGGTGTGTATGTAAGTGAAGGGTGGGAGAGAAACAGGCACACTGATAGCTGGCTCTGGCTGTCAGGCCTAAGATGCCAAAGGCCAAGATAGGGAGCTGATGCAGCAGAGACCCATTGTTTGGATAACCTTCCACAGCCCCACAGTGCCTTCAACAGGAACCTTGGCAACCCTGTGTGAGGGTCTTTGTCTGAGGCAAATTCCTGAGGTCTTAGAGCAGAGGAGAGCCAGACAAAGCCAGAAGTCAATACCAAATTACAAGGAACCCTTCAAAACCTACCCCCTTCAACTTTCAACTCTGGATTCCTCTACTATGTTGCCTGCACCTGGAGGAGCCTCCTTAATACTGAATTCAGATTGCTAGGAATCAATCTTATCAGAAGGACAGGAGAGAACCTGTGAGGCCCTAGAGCACTGCTGAAGTATTACAGGAAGAACTGTCAAAATGGGCTGCCAGTGATGACAAATTTCTTACAATTTTCCTCTTTCAGGTCAGCTGGCTTCATTACTCTTCTACCTGCATGACTACCAGCTCTCCGTGAGATCAGTCATGATGTCTCACATTCAGAAGCACGGTGAGCGCCGGCCAGGCCGTCAGGCCCAAACAGAAGGCTCAGGCATGGTAGATGCACAAGTTCCTGCAGCTGAGGCAATGGGTGCCACAGCTGCTTCCTCTTCTGCTGAGATCCCAGAAACTGTGGAGGAAGTTCTTGCTACTATTGGAATCCCAAGTGTTTCTGAGAGTCTTCAGAAGATCTATTGCTCCTTCCCTGCCATCAAAGCTACTCCACCAAGCAAACCAAAGGCAGATTCCAGTGTTCAAACTGAGGAGAATCCAAATACCTCAAAGGCCAAAGCAGATGCTGAGAGGCTGCTCATTACTGTAAAGAAGACGGTGGCTGACTTGGTGGAATTTCTTTGTGACAAGTGCACAAAAAAGGAAGCTGTTAATAGAAAAGAACTGCGGAAGTACGTTACCAAAGAGCTCAAGTTTTACTTTCCCAAAATCTTCAGGACTGTGTGTGAATGCATGGAAGGAATCTTTGGCATTCAGGTGAAAGAAACAGACTTTTCTCCCCACTCCTATATATTCATCAAAATTCTCGATCTTACTTATGATGGGATGGAGAGTGATGACGAGGGCCTTCCCAAGCTGGGCCTTCTCATACTTGTACTATGTGTGATCTTCATGGAGGGCAACCGTGTCTCCGAAAAGAAGGTCTGGGAGGTGCTGAGTGTAATTGGGGTGTATTCTGGGAAGAAGAATTTTATTTTTGGAGATCCCAGGAAGTTGATTACTGAAGATTTTGTGCAGGAGGAGTATCTGAAGTATGGGGCAGTGCCCTACACTTATCCGACTTACTATGAGTTCAGATGGGGCCCAAGGGCCCATGCTGAAACCAGTAAGATGAAACTCTTGCCGTTTTTCACCAAGGTCAAAAGAAGTAATTGCCGGACCTTTGGAGCCTTGTACAATGAAGCTATGGATGAAGAGGAAGAGAGAATCAAGTTTGCAGTAGGCAAGCAAGTCCAGCAGCTCCTCATACCCTAAGTAAAGACTGGGCATATTCTTCACTCTGTCCTTAAAGAAATCAGTAGAGAGTCTAGGTAATGAAGGGCCCGAGTGAAGCTGAGGTAGGAACAGAATGTATAGCATCTCACTGTTTCTATTCTCTATGAGTAACAGATGTCTTTTGTGTGATTTTCGAATATAATAAGCTGTACTTCAGAATCTAAAGTTATGAATGGTGGGTCACACATTTATAGCACCTTATGTTTGAAACTAGAAACTGTTTGCAAAACAAATTGTGAAATCTTCAAATGATTTGTGATCTGAACATAATATGATGACATTGCAAGAGACATTTCCTTGAGAAATTGAAAAAAATGGCAGCATGAAAATAAAAAATAAGAATTCAAGAAATAGAAGGCAAACTCTAATGCAAGTTAATTCTTGCAATGATTTTTTTTACTATCACTCTGTAACATGAAATAACATTTATGAATTTTCTGTTGGTTCTTTGCTTCCTTTTGAGATAGTAGAAAAATAAATTTCAATGAAACTTTTAATTAGCTCACTTGCTGTTCAAATATTGATTGTGAATATGCTGTTTGGAAAGTGTTAGGCTAGTGGTTGAGGATCTTCAGATAGGACCCTTGGAAATGTAGAATATAGAAACATCAACAGGGAAGATGGTGAGATTTTCCATAAGAATTAAAGAACAATTAAAAAGAAGGAATGAGGAGATGGCAGCCCAAGTCAGAGTGGTCTAGCACAAATTCCCTTACTCCAGTCAGTTTGGAGATTTGGGGAAGCTGCAATCCTTTCTGAGTATGTGAATTTTAAATTGTTCTGGGTGGTGGCAGGTCCTGACTGATAAATGACTTATGAGGGAAAATTGTGAAATGGAAAAATGTTGCTAACAAGTCCCTTTTTGAAAGTGGAAAATCTGTGAAGAATTGCAACCTGGAGCAAGTGTAGATGATGTCCTGTGCTTTTGACCAGATGCGGTTAACTCAATACACCTGGACTATGTTGCTATGCAACACTCACAGGATCTCCTGGGAAATAGCCTAAGGATCCTTTGAAATGAGGCCTAGAAAGCCATTAGGCTCATTCTCTTTTTCCCGGTTCTGAAAAAGCCAGAAAAAACTACATACAAATCAAATGAGATTATAATTAGGTTACCTTGAGTGCAGTTTGGCCATTTCTAAACAAGCAGTAGATTTTTCATGACAGTGAAATGCATTAACAGTGTTTTATATGAAAGAAAAGTAAATGGAGAAGAAAAAAGTTGATGTTTGTACTGAATCTAGAAGCTTTTTGCTAAATCTATCTGGGGAAAACCAAACCACATCTAAACTAGAAACCAACTTTTTCAGTGGAAACTGAACTGAAGTTCACTTACAAGGAAGCATGTTGGGCTGATTTGTTACCTTGTGTCCTAGACAGTAGAGGATGCTAAGTAAAGGCATGGGATTTGTAAGGGTGACATTGATCAAGATGTCTGACATTGCCCCATTTGTTAGGAAATGGAAAGACCTGTATTCATAAGCTGTTTTGTTAAATGGCAGCTTCTTTGTACACCTCTTTAAAGACAATAAACAACTGCCATTTGTCAGAATTTCAGCTGAGTTGGACAAAATAGTAAAAGCCATCAAGCCAAAGTGAGAGCCCTTTAATTACTGACTGCATTTGTCTATAAAATTTAAAACTAGAATAGGGATAATTCCCCTTGTTATGTTTCATAAAAAGAACTACAGGTAAGTTAAAGGCCAGGTGGATCAGCACAGATAAGGAGCTCTGGTGAGGAAGACTGAAAGGAAAGTTGTTGCCTATTGGCTTGCACGTGTAGTCCAAGCCACTCAGGAAGCTGAGATGGCAAAGAAGATTACTATTTAAAACCTGCCCAGGCCAGAAAGACCATGACACTCTTATCTACAATTAACTACCAAAAATCCAGAAGGAAGTTTTGCAGCTTACATAGGAGACCACTAGCAGTCAGAAAAACTGTTCAGGGCAACAATGCTCCATAGGAAATGTACTCATTTCCTTGCTCATGTAACTGTAACTCCTCTGTACAGTATTTTTACAATAAAAACATACACAAAATGTTCAAGGACAGTGCCAAGGCTCTGAGATCAAGTCTCCAGGGCCTGCTCAAAAAAAGTAGTAGGTTTTTGGATCCTGAGGTCAGGGAGAGTGAAAAAAATGGATCAGGAGTCAAAAAGTAGAAAAAGTAGGTAGTGAAATGTCTTCCATCACTCAAAACACACTTGGAAGATCTGTGCTCACAGTCTGAGATAAAGGGACTTAGGGATTGTGTGCTGGAGCTAGGACTTCAAATATAGGAAAATAGGACTGTGTCTGCAAATTCTTATATATATATATATATATATATATATATATATATATATATATATATATATGTTCTTATATATATATATAATTGTAAAGATACTGTACAAAGGGGTTACAGTTACATGAGCAAGGTAATGAGTACATTTTCCATCAAGCATTGGTACCTCCTCCTTTGTTTTTCCCCCTACCATCCCTTCCCTCCCACCTCCCCAACTTCTCCCTCCCCTCAAGCTCTAAAGTTCATTTTAAACACAGTGCAAATTCTTTTAGAGGCTTCAATACATTGTTTATACCTGGAGGTCACCGAGCAGCTTTTCCCTATGATACCGACTAAGTGAATTGTCTATATAACGCTCTGGGATCAGATCTACAAGTCTTCATACAATTTTAACTAGGATCTCTAAAGATCTCTTACAGCCTCTCACTGCACTGTGTGCTTCTTATGTATACCATGCATTCCTAGAATTCTGGTGCATAGCGCTTACCAGACTTCACATATGAAGAACCTAAAGGTCACAACATTTTTCAATTTGTCCTAGATCTCATAGTTTGTAAATGTCAGGGCTGAGGCTAGAATTTCTGGATTAATGTCATTGAGAATTAACATTATTCCCATACCTCCTAATCTGAGGCTGTCCTCCTGTTTCTTAAGAATTTCCTAATTCATCACCTTTGTGGTTGTCCTCAGAAATATCTTATGTCAATAAATTGTCTGTGTGGGGTCTAAAATGGAGGCTTAAAGAAGGAATATGACAATATGAATAAAACACAATTTGTCGATTGTCTTAGAGTTTTATTAACCTGTGGCCTTCCTGTCGGAGTCTCAGGATTGGATTTATTACCAGTTTACTTTGCCAAGGAGGTATATTTCTGTTAAAACACAGAATGTTCCACCCTATGCTGCTCTTTCCTGGTCATCAACCAACTACATTTCTGCTCAACTCTGTAGGTCAGCTTCTCAGTGTTGCTTCCTCTGGAACCTCTGCCCGCCTCCCAACGTAAGAGTCCAGAGTCACCCAATAACTCCATGATTTAAGAGCATTCCTCATCAGCTCAAAAGTTCCCTGGATGACCCAAGAGGACACTCTTTGGCTTAAAGTTTCACTTTGGACAATGGCATTTAAATGTCTGCTCATTCCCCCATGCCCTCCTCAAAACATACTCAAAAGTGTTTTCCAAATGGGTTGTGAAGAATCTGATTTGTGCATAATCTGATTTGGGGGCCTATACCTTGAAAGCAAGAGAGATATTAAACCACATAAATATATCAGTACCATTTTAATGTGATGTCAAATTTGGAACTGGATAGTTAACACATATACAGATGAATGACATTACCTTTATAAAGGAAAACAATTGGAATCACTAAATAAGTAAACAGGTACTTACAATGAATTTTTAAGGTCTTTTGACTACTCCAACTAGGTGAAAATTACTTCTTGGTGAAAATGCTAGCTCTGGTTTAATAAGTAAAAGAAATTAATCATTCTGCCATTACATCTGGTCTGCATACTTGCCCCAGAGAAAAATCCTGCTTTGCAATTTGCTTAATAGTCCCTGCACAGGTGTTCATGTAAGTTCATGAATATGGAAAATGTTGCAGAGAGTCACAATTTAAAATAGGGATTATTTTTTGACTACGAAGAAGAAATTTATTGGTTTGCTGAGATTATAGTAGGTACTGCAAAGGGCAGTTGCTCCCTGCTAACATTTTATGGAATCTGTTCAAAATTAAATGTGATCATGCATTTGGAATCATCTGTCACATAGTGAGCAAAAGCTCATGAATTTCAAAGCAAATGTGACCTAAGATATGTATTCAAATGTTTTTTTGTCTTTCATACGATGGTTTCTAAAGCATTTATAAGATTATTTCTTTGTTGCTTTGTATGTCCCTCCCCCACAGTATAACCTCTGCTTTCACTGTATTTGATGTTGGTATAATTTGTGGAGGGGAAGGGGAAAAACAAATCGTTTAAATAGGGATACAGGTGGACCCATTGCAACAATGAGATGTACAAGTCTTTATGTCCAAAACTTTACATCTTTGGAGGGGGGGGGAGGGAGCAAGGAAGATTGGGTGGGGGGGGCTGGGGGAGTCTGGGCAGGGATGGGAAGGGGAAACAAAGGAGGAGGCTACAATGCTTGATAAGAAATGTACTCATTACCTTGCCCATGTAATTGTAACCCCTCTGTAAAGTATTTTCACAATAAAAAATAAATAAAAATAAAAAATAAATAAAAAGAATGACAGAATAGAAATTTAAAAAAATAAAAAAAAATTTCCTTTGCGAAATTAAGGGGGGCATTGTGACAAAATAACAGTCTAATCTCTAAATAGGCAATGCAATTAACAGATACTTTTCAAATGCAAAAATTTTAATGCCTAATATAAATATTATATTATAAATATTTAATTTAGTATAAATTTTATATATGTAATATTTTATATAACTGTATCATATTTATGATTATAAAATATAATTATAACAAGTTATACTTCATATGATTATCTAATATATTTAATTTTATATTTTATTTTATAAAATTATAAGATATATTTATATGATTACAAAATATTTTATATAATAAATTATTTCATGGCTTATTATATTTTATAAATATCAGCATGATCTATTTAATATCACTTAAAATAGACTTTAAGAAAACTAAACACTGAGAATATTCTC